AGTGTGAGAATTCGATAACTGCATATAAGTTGCCTTCGGCTTTGAAATGCCTACTAACTTATATTTATTAGTTTTTTCTAAATAGATCGAAGTCTGAGAAAACTTTTTAGGGCAAAAACAACGGGTTTAAATACATGTGGAGATTCTCACAGCATTAAACTGTCATACGGGACATCTTTCCTTTTACACCTACGATAACCAACTCAATGACAACAATACGCGAACAATACCAAGTCATCAAGAAAATTACACAATTTCCCTCTTTCATATATCCTATACTCGAGCAACGGCAATACCTCCATCCTCTTCGTCCAACAAACCCCACTAAATACACATACTATAATAGGAAGTAACGATAATTGGTCTATCATATACTAAAAAAGGAAAAGCGTGGTCTATCAATCACGATGCTGAAACCGGTAAGTATTTTCTCAATGTACAATGATCTTAATCGTGATATGATCAAAAAATATATATATATAAGATAACTAACTATTTATGGAATAACAATAATCAGAATATAACTATAACGAAAATAGAATAATAAAATAATAATAATAATAAAAATAATAATAATAATGATATACTAAGAAAAAAAAGACATCGACAGCAGAAGAAATGATGCGATCAACTGATAAGATCGAAAATTTTAAAGATAACAATGTCATAGTATTTCAGCATCAGTGGATGCTAAAATAAGTCATATGATTAGTCAGTTAAATATCAATGTTAAAAAGTCTCAAGCCTTTTTTATTTAAATCTACTAATGCTGCATCGATATAATATCGATGTTAGTTATGCAATTTATTATTATTAAATAATCATGTAGCTAAGAATTTGTGTAATAACAGAAAAATTATTAATATAATAATTATCTTAGTTTAATTAAAAATATACAAGTGTCAAATACTGTAATGGAATTTCTTAAATCACATCATCATGTTTACTAAAATTATGATCCGGACCTGAATCCATTATATTATGAGCCAAAATGTTACAATTCATTAAAAAGTTGGCATACCTTAAACCCAGTTCGTTCTCTGACAGCATCAAGATGCCGTCGGAGAATGAAATGAATAATACAAGTCATTAAAAAGTTAAACTCAGTTCATTTTCTGATGGCATCAAGATGCTGTCAGAGAATTAAATAAGTTCAAAATTATAGATGTGACTTTTCTTGTGCTAAAATAAGAGTTATTAATCACAGCACATGTCAAATACGACTTAAAGCACTAAATTGGCTTACCAAATTGTTTTATTTTTCTAAGCTAAGATAACTTCGGAATAACTATTCAGAAAAGACCATATAATTAAAAAACATATAAGACTTATGAAAGAAATACTGTATAATCTTGAAATAACATCTGTGGTGTAATTTAAATATCTTGGCCTGCATTAAGCTTAATTTAAGCTTAATTTAAGCTTAATTTAGTAAAGATTCATTTTACAAATTTTAATTAATTGAATAATATTGGTTTATGCCAAATTATGTGATAAATAAATCCTGCAATATGATCAGCAGATTTCTAAATAATTTTGGTATTAACACAAAGATATCAGCTGAATGATATGTTACTATTATGATAATGTCACTGAAGGGTGTTGAAAACCCCCATGTTTGTGATGAATAGATCCTTGTGTTAAATTTTTTTATTTTACATATTAGATTCTATTTTTTAAAAAAATTTAATTCGGTTATTGACTTATCGAATTTTCTTATTTTGCCAACGAAAATAAAAGCCAATTTCTTACTATATAGCAATTGTAATTCTATATTTAATATTTTTATAATAAATACAAATTCAAAATTTTATTCTTTTAATTAAAATTTTTTTGGAATAGAGTGTTGTATTAAATAATGAAGAAAAATTTTCTCAATTTATTCTTACAAAAAATGATTTAATTCGAGTAATAAATAAAAATTGACTAAATAAATAGCCTAAAAACTAGTGCTCAATATTGAAATGTCTGAGAGAGAATTGCTATAAAATTTTTCACTAACAATTCTGGCCAACAAAAAAAAACTCAAGAACTTATCAATGCCACAAAAATATATAGTAAATATTTTTTTATAAATATAAATCAATATACTTCATATAGTATTTCAAAAAAGCTATTTTATCTGATATTTTATTATCATGAGTTGTTATATATTCATTTGATTCATTCAGTTTGTCCAATAGATTCTTGCATTAATTTCTGAGTAATTTAGATCAAATAATATTCTATAATTTTGAACTTATTTTATTCTCCGATGGCATCAAGATGCCATCAGAGAACGAACTAAATTTAAGATGTATTATTTTGGCTCATGATATAACAGATTCGTCCCCAGACAAACCCAGAACATTGTAAACCCTAATTTTTAGATTAAACAAAACATGAATTTATGAAGAAACCATAAACCCAATTTTTTAAGTGTTTGTATAAATTAGCTTTTTTTTTATGTAGCAATGCATCATCGATTTTCCTATTCAAGTTGCTACATGACAACAAACTTAAACAAAAAGTATAAAAGTATTCTTTTTTGAGCTAATCAATAATATTTAGTTGGAATTTTAAACTTCAAAAATTTTAAAGCTTGAAAAATGATAAGCTTTTATATGAAATTGTGTGCGTTAAACACTGTTTTAGGTTAAGATTGATTCGGGCTGAACTCAAAAAACTCTATTTATACAATTGATATTTTGCAATCACACTATAGTGAACAAATCATATGAATGCAAGCAAGAGCCATAATCATCTATTTTTAGAAGGTGTATTTTCTCTTGCCTGCACTCATATAAAAGCTTTTCTTTTGATTTACTAATTGACTCTAAAATTTATCGTGAGTAGACAGTATATTAATATCATTAACATATCGATAAATAAGATACTTATTGAGAATATTATTGTAAAAAAATATTTTTTTGTTTAATTATAATATTTAATAGACATTTTCTGATTATATAAATTTAAATAAAATCTGTTCAAGGTGTGAATTTCAATCAAAATAAGTTTTTATGTTGAGATTCAAGTTCTGAATTTGATTTTGTATGTTTGGGATATATTTGGAAAGGATTATGATCCTGTCAATTAATGATAAATATTTTATAGTCTGTAGGGATGTTAAGTAGTCAAACCACTTTTAAATTTTACAATATAATTTATATGTAACTAACTATAAATTTAACCAGTTTAACATCTCTAATAGTCTATAAAATAAGATTTAAATCCATATTTTCGCTGTGAAAAGCTCATTTACAATGTTGGTAAAGCTTTTTATTTTTTTATATACAGTTGATATATCTAATGAGATCCTATCAGTATCTGCTTAGTTTTTGCAGATGTTTTTACCATAAACCCAAATAAAGGTGAAGTGGTAAAATTCATATC